GTTCGTAACTTGGAAACCTCCGAAGATCAGCAATGGACCTGTCGACATCTACGTCGTTTCATACCAACCAATCAAATCAGAGGGCTGTCAGAATGACGTAATCACTCAAAGTTGGATCACACCTGAGCCAGTTCCTGGCACTGAAAACAAAATTGAAATATTTGATCTTTCAATTTTCATGACCTATCAGATCAAAGTTTGTCCCGTGACTTTTGCAGGGCAAGGTCAAGAAAAAGTCATCACTGGAGAAACTGACGCTACTGGTTGGCTTCATGCTTCTTTACATTTTAAAGCAAAATCCTCTTGGTTGGATGTTTGCCTGTACATGAGAATGCAATTTTTTGTTTTGTTAGCTAAATGTTTGTGCACATTTGAAAAAAATGACATTTTTCGGCTGATTGTTTGCATCAAAACAACGACAGAACCTTCCGGAAAAGTTAACATGACGATGAAAAAGTTGAAATCAACATCAGCCTCGTTCATGTTGCAACCCGTCAGCTGCCAACATTGGAATGGACATTTTAAGGGGTACGCTTACAAACTTTATCAACAACTCCAACAACAAGCTGGTGACGTCATCAGCAACGTCAGCAATATTAACGACGCTCTCAGCGGCAATGAGGATATGTATAGCAGCAACAAAACTGACAAGAGCAACAACAATTACGACAACAACATGATTGATGACGACCTCGATAATTCTGCATGGTCATTGGTTGCTGAGAGTTGGATCGATGGAACAAAATTAGATTTAGAATCTTTGGTTCCATTCACTAATTATACAGTTCAAGTCTGGTTTGCTAATCATAAATTCAATGGTTCCAAGCATAACGTTCAGTTTGAAACACCTGAAGATAGTTAGTAATGATAATGATAGTGATGATGGTGATGATAGCGATTTTTTCTCCCACAGTTCCTCCACCTCCGAAAAATTTGAAGTTGGTAAACACGACACACACGAGCTTGTACGTAACGTGGGATCCACCTAGTCCGACACATGGAATCATCGTAGCCTACCACATCATGTATGTCTCTTGCTGCTGCTGCTGCTGCATGTGTTACACCACACACACACACAAGTGATGAAGTGTACTTAAATACCTTTGCACTTATTGTACTTAAGCACGTTTGTATTTAAGTGCCAAAAAATTTTTACTCAAATATTTATACTGAAGTACCAGTGAAAAATTGTTCTTATAATCATACTTAAGTATTCTTCAGAACTTGTACTTATGAATGCGGAAGTTTTCTTATAAGTACTGAAATAATTTTTTAATTTCCATGTTCAATTCCAACATTTCTTGGGCCGAATTTCGAACTTAAGCAGGGTTTTTTCACTCGAGTTTGAATAAATATATATTTATTTGTCTATCTATGTATGTTTTTGTGTAGAATTTGCACACAAACATAGATACAGAATTATTAAGCGTATATACAAATATACAATTGGATGCATATCGTACGTACATAAGTTTCGATAATGTTGCTTAAATAAACAAAAACATTATATTGGTAGAAGTAAATTAAATATTCAATTATAATAAATATTATTTTAATTCAGTATTGATATTATTTATTATTATTAACCTAATAAGCTATGTAAACTGTTATCTGAAGTGAACAAATTAATATCATGAACTTATACTTGGAATTTTGGTTTAAAGGCGACAAGTACTTATGTGCTTAGTAATTGTACTTTAGTACGTAAGTTTTAAGTACATATTTTTCAGTACTTGATACTTAGTACATTTTTTAACGATTGATTAATACTTAAGCGTGAGCACCTTCTTAGTGAGTGGTGACTGATGCGCATGTGTGCAAGGAGACGGGTATTGTACGTAGGCCTGATATTTTAAAATTGTCGAAAACATTACTACAAGGGTGAGCAATAAGGCTTCAAAAACATCATCGTCGTCGTCATCAAATAAAATGGAGAATGGAAATTCATCGGATGAGGTGATACCTATAATGTCTGGTCATGTGACGTCACATAACATCACGCAACTTCATCCTTACGTCAATTACATGGTGCAGGTTGGTTGATGATTGTTTGGTTGGTTGGCTGGTTGATTGATTGATTGGCTGGTTGATTGATTGATTGGCTGGTTGATTGATTGGCTGGTTGGTTGGTTGATTGAAGGTACGTGCCTCAACATCAGAAGGTCACGGAGCATGGAGTGAAGCCATTCATGCACTCACTGATGAATCAAGTTCGTTCGTTCGTTTGTTTGTTTTTTCATACATTCATTACATTCTATTATTCGTTCACGAATTCGTTCGTTTCATCGTTCATTCTTGCCCTGCCACCAGTCCCCACAGAGCCACAACACCTGCAGAACACTTCTCGATCGTCACATGACTTTACTTTGCTCTGGCACCCTCCATTGAGAAAAAATGGTGTTCTCATCAGCTACACTGTTAGTTAGATGGCTGGCTGGTCGGTCGGTCGGTTGGTTGACTGGCTGGTTAAAAAATAGTCTGTTTCCATCATACTTATAACTTTCAACGACAAATATCATCTATCAATCAATCATTATCAACAATCAGCCGAGCAATCAATCATTATCAACAATCAGCCGAGCAATCAACCAATCATTAATCAGGTAACATGCAACCCGGTAACAAAAAGCAAATCTCGGACTCTCGAGCGTGTTTTAGAGCCGGAAAAAACGAGTATCATTATAAATGAACTACAGCCAGGCACCAATTATGATTGCAAGGTGTTCGCCAGCACCAAGGCAGGCAGGGGGCAATTCGCTGAATTACTCCTCTGGACGGAACCAAAAAGTACGTAGTCTGACGTCCGGACCTGCTGTTGATTCTTTCTCAATAACTTTTATCTCACTCAATTTTGTTGTTTCTGGGGAATCCTTCTGCATCATCTTCGTCGTCATAATCAGCAGCCATTATTTCACCAAACGACATGACGATAGCGAATTAAAACGACTATTTTAAATAACAAATAAGCCTTAAACTACGCTAACCGACTTTTACACTAGAAAGGAAGAGGGGAAATGAAATAGATCTTAAAGCAACCAAAACTCTAGATGTAAAAAAAAATTAAATTAAACAAATTAATTTCAAGCGGGATGAAAAAAATAGATTTAGAAAATTTGAAACCGCAAAAACCGTGTGCACATGTACACGTGTTTGTAGGTTTGTGTGTCTGCTGCACATTCAAGTGCGGAGATTATGTGTTGCATAATATCTTGTGGAATTTTTTTGCTGATGTTATTAATTAACTTTTGATATTCGGTCTTGTTGTTCTCATGTAGTCACTTGTTAACTTTTAAATATTTCTTTTTTAGTATCTTTTGACATGCCGGCTCCGAGGTTGAGGCAGGCGTCGAAGGAGGACAGCATGATCTTGCTTGAGTTGGATGCCATGCAAGAAATGAATCACATGGAGGAAGCTGACATGTTTGTTTTTCATGTTGTCCATATTGATGCTGCTTTTGTTGATGTTGTTTCTGGCGTTGTTGGTGTTGTTGCTGATGAGCTTATACATGTGACAGCGTCCGTTGATTCGTTCTCCAACTAACCAACCGACCAACCAACCGACCAACCAGATTGAATCGCATTGTCGTTCAGACCTTCAACCCGATGCACTACTTGCCGTCATCAAGCAGCAACGCCAGGAAGAAGAAAAGAAGGAAACGAAACTTGTCGCAGCCTCTATCATCATCAGGACCATCATCACCCTCACTCGTGACGTCATCAACACCGTGTGACTTGACGTACAACGAATTGACAGACTACCTGACAGCGCGGTCGCTCGGCCACAGCTGCTACATCGCCGCTGAAATTCCTCGCATCACACAGGCGAGAACGTTCGCGGTGGGCGATAATAAGACATACGGAGGTTACTATAATGCAAAGCTGGAGCCGCAGTTGGAGCACGAAGTCTGGTTTGGATTGGTTGTCACGGTCGATGGGGTGGGTTGGGCTGTGGAGATACACAGATTATTACTTTCACTTTTTCTCGTTAGAATTTTTCGAGTAGGTACGATATAATTAGTTTATCAACTTTCAAATGACAAATGTATCTGAGATGTAATGCGCAATTTATTGACTTTAAGTTTATTTTCTTACCTCAGATGACAGTTTCATCATATTCAAAGAATGCCATCTTCTCCAAATGTTGGTATTCAATAGAGACCCACCGAATATTTTTCCAAAATTTGACGTTTGGGCTCTGGCCATTTCGAAAGGCTGAATAGCCATTTAGTGCCTTTTTCGTTTAAGTCATCAATTTTTTAAGATTCGAGAATAATAATAGTTGATTAATTAATGGCGGGAAATTTATTTGGCCATCATAGCTGTTGAAACATCTGAGTCTGAGCAAGAGATTGAATATTATCTTAAAGAAAGAATTGCTGTGTGGACATGAATTGCCTACTGTATTTTTTAAGAGCTTGTTTCTCATTCTAAAAAGTAAAATTTTTTCTAAATATTAAGTAACATGCTGTTCAGCTTCAGCCGAATTGTGGATTAACAATTCGGCTGTTTGGCCAATTTCTCCATTCGGTGCATCTCTAATTTTTAATTAGTATGATGACGTTGCTTGTGGATGCTTATGTAAATGTGATGGTGGTGGGGCTGTTAGTGCTAACGACGACGACGATGATGATGGTGATGGGGGTGATAACGATGGTGAGAATAATTATGGCCAAAATAATGATAAAACGGTGGTGATTTGTAATGATGATACTGATGACGATGATGACTGTACTGGCTAATGATGTTGGTAATAATAATAACGACGGTTAAAACACTAAACAGCTCATCGAATGAACCAGGGCTTTCACCACCCATCATCGTCGTCGTCATCTTCAGACCTCCAAAATGATGATGATGACGTAGCGAGGGACGCATTCGATTCATCATCATCGTCCACCATCACAGCTGTTGTTGTTGGTTCCTGCCTGGCCCTGGCACTCGTCATCATACTCGTTGCGTTGGTAGCTTACAACTGCAAGCTGTTGAAGGCCCGCAAGATGATGAAGGAGCTTCACGCACCTCCTGTCGCTGAGGGGCACGCTGCAGATGCAGATGATTGTGATGATGACGACGACGATCCGCAATATTCCGATGATGTCCAGCTGAATAAAATTTTATTATCCGATCCCAGTGAATTGAAGGTGACGTCATCGTCGAAACTCCACCCACCCATTCCCGTTTCTGAACTCTGGAACTTTGTTGTACCGCGGAAACAATATGCCGACGACAAAATTAGAAAAGAATTCAACGAATTGAAGCAGAACGTCATTTACAAGGCGACTGCTTCATGTAGAGCTGAGAACAGGAGCAAGAACAGGTACTGCAACGTCCTGGCCTACGACCACTCACGCGTCGTCCTGCGCTGCTCGCCACACCAATCTGATTACATCAACGCCAACTACATCGACGGCTTCAATAAACCAAAGGCTTACGTGGCCTGCCAAGGCCCGACCAGGTCAACGGTGAACGATTTCTGGAGGATGGTGTGGCAGCTGAATGCCAGGATCATCCTCATGGTCACCAATCTTGTCGAAAATGGAAGGGTTAGTGATGATGATGGCTTAATACTAATACTAATTATGCTAATAATTTAAAAAAATAACGAACTTGCAGCACAAATGTGATATATATTGGCCGGATGCAGGCAGTTCAAAGTATGGAGACATTGTGGTTCAGTTGAAGCATCTCGAAGGATATGCAGATTATAAAATCAGAACCTTTGCTGTTGCCAGCAGCAGCAACGGCGCAGAAACACGCGAAGTCATTCAGCTGCACTTCACAACCTGGCCTGATAATGGGGTTCCACTACACCCAACTGCACTCCTCGAATTGAGGAAAAGAGTGAAGAACATAGAAACCAAAAACATAGAAATTAAGAACATTGAATTGATGAACAGCCAACTTTATGAGAACAGTGATGTCATCATCAACAGTGTCAACAACAATTTGCAGCAGAAACTCTTAGGCGGGGTCCAAGAAAAGATCACAAATAAGAATGATGCCAACTTCACTGAACATCCTATTGTTGTTCACTGCAGTGCTGGCGTTGGAAGGACGGGCACTTACATAGCACTGGACAGTTTGTTGGAGCAAGCGGAACAGGAGAAGAGAGTAGATGTGTTTGGATGTGTGAACAACATGAGGAACCAGCGGGTGAACATGGTTCAGACTGTGGAGCAGTACATCTTCATATATGACGCCCTGTTAGAGGCCTTGGAGAAGAGTTCGACGACGGTCATCAGTTGTTCGGAGTTCAGGAGGAGGTACGCAGAGTTGATGACGGTGGACCCAGCCACGAACATGTCCTACCTACACCGGGAGTTTGTGTCTCTGCAATCAAAAAATGTCTTGTACAGTCATGATGATGATGATGACTTTGATGATGATAACTTCGATGGAGATGATGATAACAATGAGAAGATCGCAACTAAAAAACAGAAAAATGTAGGAGCGAAGATTGCTCTAAAGAAGAAGAAAAAGCCCAAAAAGATAAAGAAGGCTGTGAGGGAGGAGCCGAGGGCTGTGCTGGTTGATGGCTACAGGCAGAAGGCAGCTTTCTTGGTGATGCAAACCCCGCTAACACTTCCATCCATTGACTACTTTTGGTCCATTATCCTGCAGCACAAATGCGGTGCAATCATTTCTTTCGATGACGAAGATGGGGCTGAGGATTTCATTCCTTACTGTCCCAAAGTTGAGCGTAGCAAATGCAATAGTGAAGGTTATGAAGCCGCCGAGACATTTACTGCGGGATCGTTCAGCATACAGACGATTTCATCATCGTCATCGTCGGTGGCACCCTCTCCAGGGTCGTGTGCCGATCATCCACTGTGCTTCAACGAACAAGAATTCATTCTCTCTTTCAAACCTTCCGCAACAAACAACCAAAATAACGAGATCATCATCAAGAGATTTTCTATGAACAATTGGCGCAGGAAGTCCAAAACAACTAGCAGCGACAACAAAAATGCCAAGCCACCGACTGCAACTTCTTCTGCAAAAAATCTGACCAACAACAGCAACAAAATAAATCATAACACAAAAAGAAGTGACAATGACGATAATGCTCATCATGTTGGTGATGATAATGATACTCAAAAACGCGATGATGATGATGATGATAATGGTATTTGTGATGATGATGGTCATGATGATGATCTTCCTAGGAGATTCACCATTTTGACTCTTTTGTCATCTCTCGAGAAGTGGCAACAAAAAACAGGAAACAACACTGTGCTGGTCCATTGCAGGTGACCATTATTTAGCGCTTTACATATTGTCATGGTAGTCATAATTTTTATTTGTTATCTTCAGAATTAATTTCATAATTACTTAATATCTGATATTCTGATAAATGTGCAAAAGAAACGGGACGAGATATTCGGGATTGTTCTGCACAGCGAGTTACTTGATTGAGCGACTGAAGATTGAGCACGAGGTCGACATGTACATGGCAGTCCGATACATCAGAGTCAATCGACACCAATTCGTCCCCAGTCTCGTTCGTTCTCTTTTTCATTGTTCGTCTGCTGCGTTTTGCTGGTGTTGAGTATGTGCGTGTGTACGTGTTTGTTACTCACGTGTCAGTAAGTATTCATGTATGTGTGTTTGCATGAGCCTGTGTAAAGTTCATAAACATCACGTCACTATTGTCATCATCAACATCTTCGTCATCATTCCTATCAATCCAGGTGCAATATGACTACCTGTACAAACTCATCATCGATTATCTTGACAGCTTCGACACTTACGCCAATTTTGAGTCCAGCATCTGAGCAAAGGCCAACAAACATGTGTACATACTCACACACGCGCACACAATATACACACAAATATATATATATATATTTATATAGATAGACAAGATAATGTATAAACAGCAGATGCAGCAGTCGCATAAATGAAATTAAGTTATCTCAGCTTATAGTTAGTTGATATTTCAGGATTTTACGTCTTAAAATTTTGTGACTTGAACATCTTACGCATTGCATGGCACGTGTTTACAGCATTTAATATCACCTAGTTGATGAGAAATCATTCTTATCGATAAATTACTATATATTTGTTATAATATTGTTGCTTGGTGTTCAATGTTTGCCTTGTTTATGTCAGCTCGTTGGTATGATTATCAGTCAATCAATCAATATATCAATCAATTAATCAATCGATGGATGGATCAGTGACCATTTGCCAGGTTCATTCATGTATCAAAACATACCCGCACACATTAACACGCACATACACAAACATGATATTTGTAGTATACTATATATATGTATGTGTATATATATATATATATCGATGTTAGGACGTGCTGGCTTTTATTGACGTGTAATTTAATTAATTGCAAGCCAACTTTTAAAATGCCAAACCTTCATGTACATACTAAAAAATAATTACACATATGCGTAGGCACACATACATACACACATTCAAACATACATACAAACAAACAAACAAACAAAAGACATACATCAATAATTCAGAGGTGCATGCAAGAAATATACAAATGGTTCTACGTTAAATGTTTGTTCAATGTTAAGCGTTAAATCTTGTTAGTACGTGCCTTCCCACCACTCTACCATCCGTATGTGGGCTTATTACGAAAAGTACTCATATATGTTATGTACCTATATATATAATTTATATATCTCTATATTTTTATATTTTCTATATTTTTACAATTCTTATTGTATATATACATACAAAATTAATATATTTCATACACAGGATTTGTATCTTTCGTGAATAAAATCGATATTTTGAATACACTGGGTGCTTAAATGTTGTTGTCTATTTATCTACTACCACACAGGGCTCTAGTATGTATGCGTTTGTGTGTATGTACGTATGGATGTATTTAAATACCAAAACTCGTTCCAGATAGAGTTAAAAACTCGTTCATCTCAAACTAAACATTTTTTTACAAACATGTTTATTTTTTATTTTATTATTTAAAAATATGTTTATATATATTTGCCTTCACGTGTTTGCACCATTACCATTGTTGGCTGATGAAATGATTGTACGTTGTAATTTTTAAGTTTAAATAAATTAAGCATTTCTTTCCACATAAACATTAACATGTGTAATGTATATATGACATGATGTATGTGCATGCCTGCCTGCATGTGTGTGTCTACATGTGAAATAGATACATACATATATAAGCACATTCGTATAGCTAGCATCCATACAGCGTGAAATAAATTTTGCACAACTTATTTTTGATGGAATTATTAAATTTATTTAAATTTATTAATGGATGCAATTTCCGCTTGATCACGAATTGAGTTAGACGCTGCTACAATCAATGTCTCTAATTTAAAATCATAATGTGAAGATGAACCAAGGACCACTAAGTATCGCAGTCCACTATTTTATTTCACGATATTTACAATGTGATAGCACGAAGTTGCAAATAAATTTTACCATCCAACGTAAGAACTAGGGCTTTAAAATAAAAAATTAACTGAACATGAAATCAAAAAAAATAAAGTTGAGGCAATGATGACTGGCGATGACAACATTAATACGTTGATGGATGGACGATAATGACATGAAGAAGAATGATGACAGCAATCAGGCATTCTGTTTGTCGAACATCTCTTGCAGGATCTTGTAGCTTTCAATGTACCTGGCTTCGTTCTCTCTCGAGGCCTTCTTCCATCTGGTGAAATGAAGTCTCATTAATATTCATTACTCCATTAATATTCATAAATTTATAAACATTCAACAGTTTAAAATTATGCAGAACGATGCAGATGGTGAAATGTGGATGGACTGGTGACCAACTTCTGTCTGATGTGCTTCCACCTCCTCATGTGATTCAAAAATATGTCTTCAGGAATGATTGCTGAGGCATCCTATCATGAAAACATTTGTCAATCAATCAATCAATCACTCAAGCTTAATCAATCAATCATTAATATACAAGAGTAATGAATTAGCCAGAGCACGAATGGAAAATTCTTTCATTCGGTTCCTGATAAATAAAGCAACGTCAGCAACAACACTAACACCGACACGAACACAAACGATTGTACTTGGTTTATGTAAAATGATTCTCTGGGTTCCTTGACGGGTGATGGAATTGTGGGGTAATTTGTTTCGCCATCTTCTGACTTCATCATCACGGGACCTGGAAGTTCGTACACATGTTGCGCATCTGTCATCTGCATGAATTAACATCTCATTAGTGTTCATCATCTCATTAGTGTTTATAAATCTTATGAAGAATTAATTCCCGTGCCAACGAAAATCAATTAATTGGTTTATCAATTAATTAATCAATTAAAAGTTAATTACCTCAGATTCAAATGGATCAACATTTGGATTCTTATCAGCTATGTTGTTATTATTAATATTATTATTATTGTTGATAGACAGGTTGTTCCTAATCCAGGCTCTGCAGATCGGGTAGAGAGGGGTGTGCTCATTGAAGGAGGCGATGTCGACTGTCCTGTCAAACAACTTCAACAGGCAGGCATCTGAATATCAATTAATCTTTTGTTCAAATGGAGGAACAAATTTCATCTTTAAACTTTTTTTTACAAAATTTCAATTTGGGAAGATGGAGATAGGTGTCTTGTTTCAATTGATTGTTTGTTAGCAAACTTACAAAAGATTATAAATGAAATATAACAGCATACAAAGAGAATTTTATAAAAGTAAAATGAAATAAACACATTAAAAATGTTCAAAAGTGAGATTAAATTGAAATAGAATACTCGAATTAGTTTGAAAGTCAGTCGGCGTGACTTCCTCTTTCACTAATTTTCGTTTTCGTTGCAGTCTGTTCACTCGTGGTGATTTCTTAGCTGGAGAGCTGATCGGAGAACTACATGCAAAGAACAAAAAATATAGATTTCACAACTAACACAACTAAAATACCTAGTTTTATTAAGATGACTTCCACAAAATTGATAAAACTATTGAAGAGAACTTGAAGGCGCTGACATAACATTTAGTGACTGAATGATTGGTGGCCAGACAGTTGAAAATATTGAAATGAATGTTCATGAAGCATATGCTCATTTACTTCACTAACTCAAAATGATCACTGTCGGTGTCAGCTGGAACGTTTGATTCCTTTCCAGGTGAGATGGCACTGTTGGTTGTGATGATGATGAAAATTGTTCAACTTTTTTAAATCAACAGTTTAATGACTTGATCTTAAAAATGAATTTCAAAACAGTTCTTATGAAAACCACTATAATTTGCAATGTCAAAAATAAAATATAGAGTGGACAGATTTTGGAAAACAGTTCAAGTTTTCAATTAAAAGTTAGTAAAATTGTTTAAAAAATATATTTTAAATTAAAAATAATTTACCCTCCATCTTCTTTTTGATCAACCAACGTTTGAAGCACTCCATCCAGCTTACTTCTGGCCACAAACACTGCTGCACCATTTGACTCCTCGCCTAGAGAAAAACAAAATTGAATTAATAAGATTAAATAATTAATAAAATTATTAAAGTTATACAACACATCCATGTTCATGTGATTAGGTAGTAGACCAACTGATGGCCATTTACGATGAGGAAGGCCTGTATATTCATGTTATTCCTGTGTAAAGCAAACATTAAATAACAAAAATTCGTTTGAGCTGCATTAGTAGCCGGCCATAAAAATTTACATGGTTGATTTGTGCATGCCACAAAATCTGTCCCCGGCCAATTCAATGCACAACTTATATATTCTACAATGGGTAATAGGTTAATCTGAACTGATCATGTCAATAAAATGGGTGTGACAGTGCTTTGATAATGTTGTTGCTTAATCAGCTTAATGAACTTTAAGCTTCTTGCTTTCTACAACTGCAAAGATATTTTATTATTATCTGGTCAAAGAATGTTTTCCAAATGATATTTGTTACTAGCCTGAAGTTTGATGTTTTGTGAGGCTTGGGCGAGAGTGATAAATAGAGTTCAACAAATTTATATAGGAATACCATATAAAAACATAACTGTTAAAAAACATATTTTAGATTTTAAATATAATTACTGTTCAATCAATCAATCAATCAATCAATCAATTAGCTTATAAAGCGCTATTTCCGCGATGTTTAACAGCGCTCCTCAATGAATTTTGCAAATAAATGGGTCTTAAGATCCACTCCGAACTTCGCAAGTGATGGAGAAATAGTCAAAGAAGTAGGTAGAGAGTTCCAGAGAAAAGGACCAGAAAAAGCAAAAGCAGATTTGGCAAAAGAGTGTTTAACACGAGTTAAGAAAAAGCGAGAAGAAGACAATCATAAACCGGGGCGTTTAGGTTCAATTAATATATCTGATAAATACTTAGGAAATAATTTAGATTGAGACTTATACATGAACGTGCAAATTTTAAAAATTATTCTATATTTTATAGGTAGCTAGTGCAAGAGAACAAAATATGGAGATATATGAGAAAAGAAAGGGGCACGAGCAACTAGACGAGCAGCAGAGTTAAAAGCTTTACTTAAAGGATAGAGTATAGAGTCAGGAAGAACACAGTAGAGCGAGTTACAATAATCAATCCTAGATAAGACTAACGAAGTAACAAGAAGGAGAAGAGTAGGATCATCAAAAAAAGGCAAAAGTTTTTTTATTCTACGTAGATGAAAGTAAGAGCTTCTAGCAACACTATTAATCTGAGAAGAGAGAGACATGCTAGAATCAAAGATGAAGTAATTGTAACGTAAGCCTAGAATACGAAACTTGTGAGAAACATCAAAAGTTTTAGAATCAGGTACGATAATAGGAGGAATAGTAATAGAGAGTGTTTAGATTTATTAAAACAAATTAATTCAAACTTAGAAGGATTAGTTTAAGACACATAGAGTCAGACCAAGCAATAATTGAAGAAAGACATAGAGATAAATTATGAAGAATTGTGAGATTAGATGGAGGAAAAGAAGTATAAATGCAAGAATCATCAGCATATGGTTGACTAGAGAAAGAAAAGTTATTAATAATACGAGGTAGTTCAGAAGTATAGAGTATAAAAGAGGGCTAAGGATAGAACCCTGAGGTACCCCGAAAGTAAGAGTAGAGGAGTTAGAAGTAGAATTATTGAGAACAACAGAAAAAAACGATTACAGAGATAAGAAGAAAACCAAGAGAGACAAGAATCAGTAATATTAAAAGAAAGATGCAGCAGTCTCAAGAGAATAGTATGGTCAACAGTATGTTCAAATGTTCTATGATCAAATATACTGAAACATTTTAGCACGATTAAAATTGATAAATTAACACAATCACTAATCAATCGATAATTCAAAAATTGACTCACTTTTAATCTTCATTTTTGACATTTTTGAATTTAAATTTTGAACCAAGTTAAGTTTTATTATTAAAGTTTCCTTTTAGGAACAAAGAACAATGATTTTAAGGAAAACCAAAACAACTGTAAAAAATAAAATTTAATTTCTTTCTTTGTGTCAACGCTGTCGACTCGACTGGACTCGACTAATTTAAAATAAATCGTTTTCAGGTCTAAAAACCAATTGTCTAACAACAATTTATATTTTTAAACTGATAAAAAAAAATTTTCAACAGTAAAATACCTTTATTTCTTCATTTACTTTAATTTAAAATCCAATAAAAAATTTTGATAATTAAATTTTACATTTGTTAATAAATTTTTTTTTCAAGAGTTGAAGAAATTCACCAGACAAAATTGAATAAAAAAAATGGAGGGCTAGTATTTTAAAGAATTATTTATCCATTTTTTTTATTCAATTTACGTTTTTCTTATAAATATACCATTTCGGCGACGGTCTTTTTTAAAGTTATTGAAAACGCCATTATCAAACACATCGTCTCGTTAAATGCAAAAGTTCAATTAAGCCAGGTTTACGTTGGGCCTTGTGGCCTAATGGATAAGGCGTTGGCCTCCGGAGCCAAAGATTGTGGGTTCGAGTCCCACCAAGGTCGAATTTCATTTTAAGTCTATCTTGAATTTTATAATTTTTTGATCCTTACAATTCATTTATTTGGCGCGCAACACTTAATTAACGTGCCCAGCAACGTACTTTTGTGTACACGTCACTCAATCTGGAATAAACAAGGACAATAACTGCTCACTAGTTAAATACTTTGAAACGAATAATATACAAATTCTATTTTAGTATGAATGTTTGTTTATTTACAATGACTTATAAAATAATATAATAAAACTTATAAAAAGTAATTCTCAATTATAGCTAATTGATCATAAAAATAATATTTCTGTGACTTCTGCCGAAGAAGAACCATCGGTTGAAGAATTTGTTGTTAATAATTCATCACGAGATGCAATATTTAATATTTTAACATTTAATATTATATAAAATAATATTATAGTATAGTAGATTATAACGCAAATTGCGGGACACTAAATCAAAGACCACATTAAGCTGAAAATTAGATTTGAATTATATTGAAAGAAAACTAACTGATGCAAAAAATGAAAAAAGCATATTCTCAATATTCTGGTCACATCCTTACAGAGAAACCGGATGACCTGACGAATCCTCTCCTGCAGAACCCTCTGCAGCCCCCGGAAGATTTGATGGCCCCCGTTGTTGTGAACATGCACGTAGAGGAAAGACAGGGTCGGAAGATGTCCTGGATCATGGATGATCTAAGTCGAGTGCGTGTCCTCCTACTTTTCAATTGCATCTTAAATAGACAGGGATGCGTGAAGAAGCTTCCAACTGTGGGGTTTCCACAGGAAAGAGCCTTTCAGATTGGAGAGGAAAATATTCAAATTTTTTCAATCTCTTTTAACCATTTGTATCTATAGACAAAATTTTCTTGAAAGGCTTGACGGAAAAAATTGTATTTTATTTTGAAAAAATTGGAAGCCCACCCCCTCATCGGCCCAGGGCCTTCAGGCCACAAACATTCACGCACTTTGGAGCTTGCTGATGCCTAGTCATCATAAATAATCATTTTTACTTCAAATTTGTCGATTCAAGTTATTGGTATTGCCGATACATTTTTTGAGTGTTGCCAACAACTCTGACGCACGTACATCCACGCGCACACTCACACGTTTCGTTTCATTTTCAGGATATTGCAAAGTTGAGAATTATTTTCGTGGAGAGATTAACTGAAGTTTGTACAAAAATTTGTCTAAAATTATTTCCAAAATTTGGAAATAAAACGTAATAAATTTTTTGGAAAGCCTGAAAAATCGTCGAAAGATGGCAGGGCGAGCACAGAAGTTCCTGACAAGTCTTATGAAATCCTCAAAGTAACAACATTTAATATCAAAATTATCTGCTTCTGTTTTTCAATTCGCTCGTTCATTCCTTTTCATTCACTCATTTTATTCGCTCGTTCATTCACTCCTTTGTTCGTTAATTTTATTATTATAACAATCAATATTGATATAATCTTATTGTTTATTATATTACTTAATATATTGACTCGACCCAAATGGCTTATATATAGGTTGAGGTCTTTCACAAGGCAACTTAAATTTAATTCTTTCCAGACGTTGTCATCGGTCTCAGATGTGAGCGAGTTCCAATCCAAATCATTTCGTTACATTTTATTTTATTTCAAATAAAGTTAATCTGACTTGATTCAATGGTTTTATTTTTACATAATTTTCATTCGTTTTAGCTTGTTTCTTACTTCAATGAACTGTTATTAATGGTAAACAAACATTAGTCATGAGTTCTTGATCTTAATCCTTTCTGTAGGTCGTCATAATCGTTATTTATTACACATATATACACACACGCCAAATGCACGCACGCACGCACGCACGCACGCACGCACCTATACATACTTACTTAAAAAGTGGTTGATGAATACAAGAATAGATGGCGAATCATTTACACTGCCAATTTCAGAGGAAGAGGTTAAGTTGGCGCACGATAAACCGCAGTTTGTATTTTGTTTGTTTGTTTGTATATTTGTATGTTTTTTATCATTGTTTGTTTGCATATTTGTATGTTTGTGTATGTATATGGTTGCTTGATGTTTTTATGCGTTTTGTGTATGTTACTTTGTATGTGTATGCTTATCTGTTTATTTTTTTATTCACTCAATCTTTTTGAACCTATTATTTAATTATCTTACTAGCATCATCATCATCGTCGTCGTCATCTTCGGTATCATCGCCACAACCACCACCACCACCACCACCACACCTTGATAGCGAGAGGAGTCAGTTGATAGAGGAACAGGTTGGCAAAATGCAACAAATCTTGGAGGAAGCTCTCGAGAAAGCCAGAAAAATTGCCAAGTTCATTTCAACCAGGTTTTTTTGTCCATGAATCCATTCATCCATATATGCGTGCTTTCGTTCGCTTGTTCATTCATTTATTTTGACTCGTTCATCCATTCACTTGTTGGTTGATTGATCGATCGAATTTTGATTGACTGATTGATCAAATAATTGATTTATATATTTTGACACAACCAGGCAAGGAGTTCTTGATAAGTTCGTGGAATATTTGAGTGGAAACAAATCTTCTATTCGCCCGATTGACGGTTGGTTGATTGATATAGTAATTGATAATGTAGACGGATCGGTATTTGGCGCATCTGTTCAATGTCTTAAATTCAATATAAAACTAAGCATCCAACCAACCGACCAACCAACCAACCAACCAACCAATTAACCAACCAACCAACCAACCAAAGATTCAAACTACGAACACCAGCCAACGAAAGAGACGGCCAATGCAATTGCTCTTCAAATAAGTGGACCTGAAAGTAATGCATTTTTTACTACAACCATATTTTGTGATTATTTTCTTAATTAGTATGAATAAAAATAAGAAACATAATTATGATTTTTAAAATATTATTTTAAATTTTATTTTATTTGAAGATTTTGAGGAAGTGAGAAGGATCGCCATTGAGAATGAGGAGAAAATTCAAGTCCAGAAGGCAACCATCAACGAGTTTGTTATCATTTTTATCGTTTATTTAGAATTATTAGCGGTAGTCGTCGTCGTCGCTGCAGTAGCAACAGTAGCAGTAGTAGTTATAGCCGTCGTAGTGTTAGTAGCAAGTAGGTAAGTGAGAGTAACATTAATGCATTCAATTTGACATTCTGCTAATTATTTTTTTTTTAAGTTTGAAAGCTAAATTGAAGCAGGTTGGCGTCGATGAAAAAGATTTGTGTTGTGGCTCTATGTTGATGACGACGGTGATGATGGTTGTGACGATGATAATGATGATGACACACACACACACACACACACATACACACACACACACACACACACATCAGGCCGAAGTTGACACCGTTAAACAGACCCAGGAAGCTAATAAGGTGGATGCTATCAATTTTTTTCAGCTAATTTATTACGTTACTACAATTAATACTACCACTGAAATAATAATAATTAACAACAACAATAACAATAAATGATGATAAATGATATTACTATTATTAAAACAAATACTTTACCGATCAATCAATCACTCAACCATTCGATCAGTTGATTGACCTACCAACCAATCAACCAACCAACCAATTAATTAGATATAAAACTAAATGAAACTAACACGGTGAATAAAATTCTGACTGGATTCTAGATGGAAGAAACGAGATTGATGGCTGCCAAGATGATATCGGCCGTGGACCAATTCATAAGAGACCCAGCCACGTTCAAAATTATTTTTGTCTTAATTTATTACTACTTAAGTATAATTTAGCTTAATAACAATAATAATAATTATTATTTATTATTATGTAATAATTAAAATTATGAAGGGGTGAACTAGCACCCTCAAACATCATAAGCACGATAGCAGACTTCCTGGCCGACTCTGACGACACTATAGCTTCCCTTGTTCGTCTTTTACTATAATAATTATAATCAATACTAATCATAATTGTTATATTATTATCTGTTAAAGTTTATTTATTTGCTATTTGTAAGAAACAAGTCAAGAAGATTTTGCTGATCAAGACAGAAGGACAGCAGACAACGACGACGGAGAGTACAACAGCGAGCAAAGTTCGATTGGAAAATATCTTACCAGAAATTATAATATCATCTATAATATTTGTTTCTGATTCATAAAATTATTAATTAGCAAGTTTTTAAATTTAAATTAAAAGAAAAGTTGTAAAATTATTTTCATCATCAAAAACAGACTACAAGCCAGCCTGATAAGAAACTTCACAAGGCTAGTAAAATATTATATTTACTTTCTACAGCTCCTACTGCTACTACAGCATCTGCTACTACTACTATTACTGCTGCTGCTGCTGCTATGTCTACTACGTTGTACTTTTTTATTCAATTTTTCATGTTTTATTTATAAATTTGTTTATTTAGAGGAAAGGCTACGAATCGAAAAGAGTTGCAAATTAAAACTCCAAACGAGATTGCAATGATGATGTTTTCATTGTTATAATATAATTTCTAACGCTATCCCATTTGTAAAAAGAACTTCCTTCTCTGGCTCTGATACATTGCATCGTCATTAAATATTTTTTTCTAAACGATGCCTCATTTTTATTGGAATTTGAAAAATATAATGGTTATAAAATGAAAAATGAAAAATTAATAAAAAATTGATTTGAAAATCATTTTGATGAGTATTGCTTAAGACAAATAGATGTCAACCTCAATAAAATATTTTATAATGTAATTATTTCGGTGATATAAATGTAATAATATTATTTATTATGACATAAAATCTTTTGAGAAATAAAACAATGAGTGATTTCGATTATAACGTCCATCGTACGATGATTCTGTTTAACTTGCTGAAGTGACTTCCAGCGCTTCTTCGTTCGTTAGTCGCCTGACGTTCTTTCGCTGCTCTCACCAAACATTCTTTTCTAGCTTGGAAAAGACACGAGAGTTATCAAAAACCTCTAATTGGAATCTCTATAGTGAGATCACCGTAAGAATGATAGAAGATCTACGTGGAATATCCATTGGAGGCGTGAATATAAACAATGTAAGATGCTGATGATACAGCTCTTATAGCAGATTCAATGGAAAAATTGCAAAAACAATTGTTTCCAAACTGGTTTTTGAAAGTGAAGGGAAAGGCTTGCAAATTAGCATCAACCAAACAGAGTGCATAGTTATCAGTAAAAGCAATGGAAAAAAAGATTAACGCTGCTGAGATGTGGTTTTTGAGAAGAATTATGAAAATTTGTTGGAATGATAATAGGGTAAAACAGTCGGGTTATGAAAAGAGGAAATTACTACAAATAATTCGACCGGGCAGTTGAAGTTTTTAATCACATCGTGCGGAAGGAAAGAATGGAAAAGCTAACAACTACTGGAGTGGAAAGAATGCCGGGAGAAGAGATCGCGGTCAACAACGAACTACATTTGCGAAGTTCTTCTGCCACTTGTTGAATATCACCACATTTCAACTACTACAACGCGTTAAAAATCGGGTTTTGTGGAGGTCGATGGTCTCCAATGTCTTGAAAGGAAAAGACACGAAAAAGTAGAAGATAGTTCAATCCTAGTAAGCCAATCTATGGCTTTAGTAAGCCACTGTATTTCACAGGACAAAAAACAATTTTTGTACTTAAATTAACAAAATTAATTTTAAAATACGTAATTTGATTAAATTACTACATTGCTTTAGACATAATAAGTTAAGTAAATATTTTATACAATTTGTTCGTTAAAACCCATGTAATGTCCTAAATAAGCCAATAAGCCAACAACAACAATCCAAGAAAGCCAAATAGCCCAACCCCTTTGTTTACGTTTAGATTCACCTTTAGTTTTTAATTCGATGAATTATTTATATCTAATTGCTTAATTAATAAATAGTTAGTTTTGCACATTCAAATGATTAAATTTATTTTCAATAATTATTTTTTTTGTTTAAATAATTAGATTTATTTATTCAAATTATTTAACAAGTTTACAATGGAAGTGGAAACCGAGGTAAAGAGCCGCAAACGAAAAAGAAGTGATGATGCTGTGGAGTTGAGTTCATATCGTGACCAACATTTTAAGGTTTTTATAATTTTTATAATTTTTTTTATTAATTTTGGTAAAATCATCTTGCTTGGTTACCTTCATGTTAAGCAGCGTATTCTGTGTTTATTTGTTTTTCTTTGGTTTTTAAGTTAGTGGTAAGTAGACTACTAGAGATAGAGACTATTGTTAGACAATTTGTATGTAGAATGTAGAAGAGTGAAATCTGAAATGAATGTTTTAAAAATCAAGTGGTTTTATTTTATTTTTTAAAATTTTTTGTACAACACACTCACTGTCTGATTACATGGTGATAGTTATTTGATGTCATGCATAGCTAATTAAAGGAGCACCTGATAAAATAAAACAATTTTTCAGTTACTTCTATGGTCCATTATTGTATCAGTCAAATAAAAGCTAATCAGTTTCTAATACTTTTTTCAAAAATTCATCGAGAGAAATTAATTGTACTTTTTGATAAATAATTCAGGGTAACAGGCATGAGCAGGAAGAAAAATTGCTGATCAGTTCAACTTTATACATTGGCAACTTGTCATTCTACACGTGCGAGGAGCAGATTCATGAGCTCTTCTCCCAAGCCGGGGACGTGAAGAGAATCATCATGGGACTCGATAAGTTCAAGAAGACTCCATGTGGCTTCTGCTTTGTTGAATATTACATCAGAGAAGATGCAGAAAATGCTATGAGGTTTAAATTTTTACCTGCTTTTATTTGACTATTCAAGTAAATCTATCCTGATTTTTGTTGATGTATCCTGAAATTACTCCTTGTACCCCTAAACCGTATATTTATAATTATTTGCTGTTTTGTAAATATATATTAGTAATTTTATTTTATTTATGAATTATGTACATCAATTTGATTGTCCAGGTTCATAAATGGGATGAGGTTGGATGATAGGGTAATAAGAACCGATTGGGATGCAGGCTTCATCGAGGGCAGGCAGTTTGGTAGGGGCAAGTCAGGTGGACAGGTGGGCTTTTTTGTTTTTATGAAAACTTTTTTAATATATTTGTAAACAGATGCTGAGTTTCAAGTAATCTGACATTTGTCCATTTTATTAATTGTTGCTTAGCATATAAACATTGAAAATGATTGGTTAATTATTCATGACTTGATAGCATTCTTTAACATAATTTATTCATTAGGTGAGAGATGAATACAGGAATGATTATGATGATGGCAGAGGAGGTTATGGCAAGTTGGTCCAACAACGTATTTCTTGAGAAATAAAAATTATGCAACGTCTCTTAAACGATTTTTCTATGTACAAAAATTTTGACGAAAGCTCTTTCCTGTTCCATTTTTATTTATTTCCATTAACGGTGGTACATTGCGTGCATGCATTTAAATATGCTGTACTGTGGTTGGTTGCTTTTCAGGCTGATCTTGAAAATATTTAAATGAAATAATCAAAGTTCTTCAAAAAAATGGTGTTTCGATTTATTAAAAGTTTTGCAGTAATTGTTGGTTGATATAAATTTTTTGGTTCGTTCCATTTCGTTCGATTTTCATTTTAAGTCTGACAGACAGAACTAACAACGTAATTGAACAAAATGTAGCTGATTGAGACAAAATCCTTTGCGCATAAATAAATAACTGCTGCAATACAAATTAAGAATAATCTGGACTTAGTGACTGTGTTAAAGCTAGCAAATGCTCAGACCATTTGGTTCTATTAAAAAGCTACCAGCCTAATTATGCAAAAAATAAAAAAATTCGAACTATAGTGCATGTTCTTTATTCCGTAATGATAACTTCGCTCGATTCAAGTTGCTATATATCAAAAAATTCAAAATTTCTGTTATCAAATTATACATTTTTACTCTTAAGAGATTGAGTGCCATATAAATCTGGTAAAAAAAACCTACCAGCCATAGACACAGCTTAATTTACTAAATCAACCTGCTCAGGACATAATTATTCGGTCGATTCAAGTTACTATATAACAATAACAAAACCATCAAAATTCCAGAATAAAATTATATATTTGCAAGCTCAGGTGATTGAGTTCTACACGAATATGGTAAGAAAGACTCGATCTACGTCTTACATTTTGATTAATGTCAAATGAAGTGGCTAATAATTGAGATCTGCGTTAATTAAATATCTATGCGCTGTTATCGGGTTATCTTTTTCTTACGTGGGAGTCTCGAAGTTTTTTATTTTATGGTTGAACGTTGGCGATAATACAACGATGTCCACGACAACACAAATTGTTCCTTCCAATCCGGCAAATCCGTTTGGATCGGGATCCGTGCTAAGAGGAACTGTGAAAAGTGTAATTTGATGAGTTTATTTGTTATGTTATCACCCATTCATGTGATCGTTTTTGTTTATGATTGTATGTATACACTGTTGTCGGCATATGACATGCGTTGATGTGGGATTGATTTTTCAGATTAAATTTTTTATGTTCATTAGAACGTGTTGATCGGCTGTTTGATGGGGTTGGAGTGTGATGTGCTTTTCTGTCTGATGTTGTTAGCTAAATTAAGTGTAGTGTAGGAACTGTGAAGTTTAAAAATTAATAAGTCGTTAGTGTTTTGTTCTTTGTTGGGTGTGACATATGGCCATATGGATGGATGGAGTTCTCTATTATATAAAAAAATTACATAAAAGTTTTTTTCTTGATGTTTATTTATGATGCCTTTATTAGTTATTTGATGGATCTTGCTAGATGGTTTACAACAGAATGAAAATACTAGTATAGTAGTAGATAATAGATTATTAATATTTTTGATCTGATGATTCTTTTTCTTCTTAAATAATTTTATGATGATTAATTTTAATTAATAATATGATTCAAAATTTTATACAAAAAAAGAAAAGATTTTTAATTTGGTTAAGATAGGATGACCCATTTAAAAAACTTTATTGATTGATCATAATATATCACAATTCAAACAAATTAATATTAATACCAGATTCTATCCGGTGACACAATAATAGTTCGTGGGGTGCCAAAAGGAGGACCCCCACCTGAACGAACCGTTGGTTTCAGTGGCATCACAGCTCCCAAGTTGGCTCGTAGGCCATTTGATGCTGCTGCTGTGCAAGCTGAAGCTGCTGATAAAGAAATTAAAGATGAGGTTATTATTAGTTCTTAGATTTTTACTGGTTTTTTTTTATTTTGTAATGACAATAGTGTTTTATGTGTCATTTTAGTTTAAAAAGAAAAATGTTTTTGAAAGTTATATATGTTATAAAACATTATCACCTCTTAATCTTTCAGCCATTTGCTTGGGAGGCCAGAGAATTTTTACGAAAAAAGTTGATTGGGAAAGAGGTTTGCTTTGTTCTTGATCCAAAGACTGTAGGTAACAAAAAAGAATATGGCGTTGTCTACTTAGGGAAAGGTGGCTTATTTGCATTATTTCATTCTTTATTTTAAATGTTTATTTAATAATTTTGAAAAATTTTGAATATAAATTGAGATATTTTTGTCAGATACATCTGGAGAGAACATTCTAGAAGCCTTGGTGAGCGAAGGCCTGGCTGATGTTAGGAAAGGTGGAATGAGAGTTGAGTTAGTAGTCAAATCATTTCTTTCCTAGGTCCTCATCCACCCAAATTATTTTTTATTTTCGTGTTAATTATTTTCTGTCATTTACATTAAAAGAAATATATTTTATGCCCTCTCTATGTAAGATATTTTAAATTTTATTTATTTAAAATTAATACTATCCATATTTAATCTGATTTCTTGTGTTATTTAACAGTTGTTTAAAAAAGTTAAAATGAAGTTTTAAACTCAATTAATTAGTCAAGTCGTGCCAAATACAGGAAAGTTAATGAACTTTCAAAAGCTTTCAAATATTTATTCATACTTGCGTCACATACTCCTACACATCCACTTAAACACATACGTGAACACACATACATACATGTACACAAACACATATAATCACAAAAATAACCAACTAACCAATCAAACAGTGACAATCAAACTCGCCTAATTCAACTCGAGGAGGCGGCCCAAACCTCTAAGAAGGGGAAGTGGGGTCCGACCGAATCGTTGAGTGAGCACGTCCGAGACATCAGCTGGAATCTCGAAAATCCCAGGCAGTTTGTTGAGTCTAACAAAGGAAAGGAGATTGATGGTAAGTCTGAAAATAATAATTAATAATAATAAAAAAATAATAAATAATATCAATAAATAATATCAATTAATAATAATAATAATAAAATAGCCGTGATAGAGTTTGTGAGAGATGGGTGTACGGTGAGAGCATTCCTCCTTCCATCGTTTCAGTACGTCACCATCATGTTCACCGGGATCAAGGTGGTGATGTGATGATGATGATGTGATGATGATGGGGACGATGGTAGTGATTGTGATAATGATGACCGAAATGATCCTATTGATTTTAAAATGGTGGGTGACCCAGGGAAATGTGTAAATCTGCAGAACTAAAAAAATGCATTTGAATAAGTTTTCATCTTGTTTATGTGGACCACACAACATCACACAGACATTCGTACATCAATCAATCAATCAATTAATCAATCAATCAATCAGTTTTCGTTTAGCATCCAGAGACCCAGTTCCCCCGAGGTAGGACGTACAGACATTTGTACATGTGCATAAACACTATTATGTGATAGAGCCCCGAGCAGAGACGAGGAGATTATTCCAATCCGCAACCGCCCGCATCTGCACCGCACCCGCGAAAAGGCACGATAAATCGGCCGTCTTTATCTCTTACTTAAAATTAGAAGATAGCAACACTAGAGAGCAATTTATTTACAATATAATTATAATCAGAAGATTTGTAAGAGAAGAATTTAATAAACTTCTAATTTAATAATTGAAGTAACATTGGCCAGAACAACGAGCACAAAATTAACGACGATGAGGAACTCAAACAAGATATTTATTTATTTAATATTTATGAAGACGTTATGTTGCATGTTGGTCGTTCCAAAATATATATATATGTGTGTGTGTACAGTATATAAATGTGTATGTTAATTTGTATGTGCGTATCATATGTGTATGTGTATATATGGTGGTGATAACACTTGTGTTAAGTATCAAAGATAGATAAACTTCACATGTACGGTTTTTGTATAACACAGACGTGCACACACATACATACATATACATGTGTGTATGTGTGTGTGTGTGTGTGTGTGTGTGTGAGTGAGTGAGAGTATGGACCTGTATAGTATAACATTGAGCTAACTTTCTTTATTCAAATCGACTGAAGTTGTAATTTGTAGAAGCTGCTCGCTTGTCTTTATCAACTTGAACCCCATAGAGACTCAGCCATGGTCCTTAAATACTCATACAGTCTCACATTCCTACATATATGCAAACAAACGAAAAAACAAAATTTTTTTGTTCTGAAAATTTTTGAAAATTAAATTTTGCGGGCGGTTGTTTAAAAACGCGCTTGAATCCACAGAAAAAAACGCAAAATCCGCGAAGTTTTGAGAAGTTTTGAGAAATTAGAGCCCCAAGCGGATATCTAATTATGTGAGTCGTGAGCCAGGCTAGGAAGCAAACTAACAAAAATGTAAGTAGGTATGATAATGATGACTATAAAAATAACTCATGATGAGATGCGATTATTTCACAAATTTAAACTTCCATGCTGTATGTTGCGAGCTGCAGAGGAGTGCTGTATTCACAGGAGCTGCATCCGAAACAGGCTTGCTGCAAGTTGCAATTTAGAAGTGTATAAACTTCAAGTGAAGCGAGTTCCTATTGAACTTCCCGAAGGCACAATCGAAAGTGAACCTGCATGATATGCAGACGATGAACTACGTCGCAGATTACTACTGTTACACATTTTTTACTTACCTGCACCTATGCTTACGCACACATTTAACATTCACACACACACATAAATGTACATACACATCACATGTACACACATGTACACACACTTATGCAGACGCCGATGTTTAAGATGGAGGATGGGACCTCAACAGCAGAACCATATGCAGAAGAAGCAAAATATTTTACTGAAGTTAGATTGCTACAACGAGATGTAAAGGTGCTCTTGGAAGGTACCTCAAATCAGAACCTTCTTGCTACTATCCTACATCCGGTTAATGTCAATGTCACTTACTTCACTTGTGGTCTGTGTTAATGTGGTGGTCGCAATGAAATGCTAATGTTGTGAGAGGTGTCTTGATTCAGATTCTTCCTACTGCATTCTTACTTCCTCTTGATTTGTTGTTTGTTTGTTTGGCAAGTCCTGGTTATGACATTAAACTGACCTTCACTGCCTTGTGAGTGATGTTGGATCATCAAAGGCTAGGCCCACCGCTTATAACTGTGGTTGCGTAAGGAATGGCGTCCTGCGTAAAAATTAGCCAAATAAATTACTTATGATGACAGAAGTGACAATGTGACAGATGTGAATGGCGTCGAGGGGTATTTCGGTTTCATCATAGGTAGCCAAACGGCAACCCCCGATCTCGGGAAAAATGTCGTCTAAACCTGTGTTGTTGTTGTTTTGTTTGGCAAGATGTGGTTTGCGCTGTTGTTATTTGTTTGTTTGTTTGCAAGCAACACAACAGTAACACAAACATCACAACAAAAACAACACCAACAACTTCTCCACCAATCACAGAGTGGCAACATAACAGAATTATTATTGCTGGAAGGATTTGCTCACTGTTCTGATTGGAGCATGAAGAGTGTAACCAATGGAGTTGATCGATTGAGAAGTGCTGAAAAGTTGGTTGATTGTTGTTATTGTTGTTGGCTGGTTGGTTGGTTGGCTGATTGGTTGGTGAATGATTAATTGATGATGGATTGATTGATTACAAACAGGTCAGCTAAAGAAAAGAAACTTCGAATTTGGAAAAACTTTCAATCAACATCTCCTGCTGTTGAAATTAAGGAAAAAAATTTTACTGGAAAGGTAGCAACAAGATCATTATCATTACTTCACTATCATCATCGTCGTCATCATCGTCACCACCATCATCGTCATCATCACCAGGTAGTAGAAGTTGTGAATGGTGATGCACTGATCCTCAAACTGCAGGATGGGACCTTCCAGAAAATATTTCTCTCCAGTATAAGATCACCCAGGTGTTAATCATCATATTTATTATTGTTGTGTAATATTTATAACATATAATAATTATAATTATATAATAATAAAAGTATTACAGAGTAATGTCATTAACTATCATAACTCATGTATTATACTAATATTATTGCTGATGGGATTGTATAATTATAATATTTGAATTAACCAGGCTTCAAGATGTGGCAAATGGTGATGGAGAGGCAGCCAATAAGAAAATAGATGCCAAAAATAGACCACGCCCCCTCTATGACATACCATACATGTTTGAGGCCAGGGAATTTCTTAGGAAGAAGCTTATTGGCAAGAAGGTTTTGCATGATTTCTTATCTGATTTCTAACTGGTTGTGATGTTCTTGACATGATTTCAAGCAACTTTTAAACTGTTTTTAACTAGAAATTGTATTTATCAGATGCTAAACTATGGAAATTATTATCGCCATTATTATTATTTTGTTATTTTATATAATAATTATAATAATAATAACTATAATAATAAATAATAATAATAATTATATTAATCACCCCTTCAGATAAATGTAGAAGTAGATTACATCCAGCCAAAATCAACTGAATTCCCTGAGAAAACATGTTGCACAATCAACTACGGTGGCATGTCTGTATTCCATTCGTTCATTCGTTCATTCATTCATTCATTTAGTTTTTTTTCTGCATTATTTTTGGGAGGTGCTTTTGACATCTTTTTGTAATTTTTGTTTTGTGTTATAATCAAATTTAATTTAAACTTTGCAATCAATCAACCAATCAAAAAGAATGGGCTGATATGATTGTATTGTATAATAATAATGATAATGAATGTACGATTGATAATAAAAAGCAAATAAAAATAGTAATGATGAGTAAGTGACGGAATAACAATAATAACAGAACCAATTATAAGAGTATAATAAAAACCTTTACCGTACCCCACTGATCCTCCAGCAACATAGCTGAGGCCCTGGTCAGCAAGGGATTGGCCACGGTGGTCAAGTATCGACAGAACGATGACCAACGATCATCATTCTACGATGACCTTCTGAAGGCTGAAGATCGGGCTATGAAAAAAGGTTTTTTTTTATGACTTGCAATTGCAATTACACGTACATGATACATAAACTGAAAAACACTCTTACAACAACCATAAAAAATAAAGGCGTTGGTCTTCACAGTAAAAAAGAGGCTCCCGTCATCAGAGTGGCCGATATTTCTGGGGTTCGTTTCTTGTTGTTTCTAAGGATGGGCTGTTTCGAGAGATTTCTGCGTTATTGTTGTCGTTGTTGATATATAGGCGTGTTTCAAATCGTTGTTTGTGGTTGTTCTTGTATTCTGTTAACTCTAATTGGTTTGTTTTATTAAAATGTCAAAGTTGTATCATTGTTGTGATCGTCTTCATCATTGTAGTGAATGATCGTCTTCATCATCGTCACAATCGTCACCAGGACCTACAGAAGGCCAAGCACTTCTTATCATTTCTTCAACGAGCGGGCAAGTGTGAGGCTCTTGTTGAATTTGTGGCCAGCGGTTCGAGGTTCCGATTGTACATACCCAAAGAAACTTGCCTAATTACCTTCTTGCTTTCTGGTTAGCCAGTCGATCGTTTGCTTCTTCTTTGAGTCATTCATTCTTTCTTTCATTCATTCATTCATTCGTGACCCTAACTAACTTAGGCATCGAGTGTCCCAGAGGGGCTCGTCCATCAGCAGCAGGGGGTCCAATGATGCCCGCCGATGCCTTCGGGGAAGAAGCCTTCAACTATGTCAAGGAGATGATCATGCAGAAGGAGGTTGGTTGGCTGGCTGGCTGCTTGGTTTGTTGGTTGGTTGGTTGGCTGTCTAGCTGTTTGGTTGGCTGGTTGGTTGATGAATGACCTCACCTCCCCAGGTTCTTGTAGAAGTAGAATCGATGGACAAAGGTGGAAATTTTATCGGTTGGTGTTTCGTGGATGGTGTCAATCTGTCTGTGGCTCTGGTGGAGGAGGGACTTGCAAGGGTTACTACTGCCTATCTTGCTATTATTGTCGTTATTATTAATGTAATAATTATAGTTATAATTATTATTTTGTGGTAGTAATCATTAAATATTCATAACAAGGTGCACTTCACAGCTGAAAAATCGAATCATTATGGAGCCTTGCAGCAGGCTGAGGGTAGGGCTAAGATGAAGAAGCTAAATGTTGGTGTCTGTCTGTCTATGTGTGTGTGTTTGTGTGTGTGTGTGTCGGTTGGTTGGTCCTTGTGATGATGATGTCAGTGATGATGGCAAGGATAGCCAGATATTTAATCTTCTCAGAAAATATAGAAATGGGATAATAATAACGATGATGATGATAATGATACGCTGAAAATGTTGGCGATGATGATGTTGATGATGATGATGATTATATTCATCCTCCTAACGAAAGCTCTGGAGCATTGAGGAGGAGAAGAAGGAAGAAGTTCAGGAAGTGGTGGCCGTCGAAAGGAGGATTAGCTATCAGACCATCGTCATCACGGAAATTTCGAATGAGTTACATTTCTATGCACAGAATGTTGAAACCGGTTTGTTTACAAAAGGATGATTGTTGATTTGGACATATTTTTGTCTATTGGGGCAAATTGTTGTGTTCCCATCATCTTCATCATCTTCACAGTCTTCATCATCACAATCTTCATCATCTTCATCTTTCGCTACGCAGCCATACACGGCATCAGAGCAGGTGCCAACCCGAACCTTCGAATCCCGAACAAATGTGAAAGTTTTGTAACCTTTTACTTTCCTTGACTGGCAAATCCATCTGAAAATATTTTGGTTAAGAAGAGGCTTTTCAAATTGTAAAAAATGCTCTGGTTTACTGGCAGAGGCGTTTTTATTCACAATGATGCAAAAAGTAGCACACTGCACATAACGACAGACATACAATTTTATGGTTTAAGCTTAGTTATCTGATTAATTTATATGATAATACTTTTTTGAAATTTTAATGTGACCTTATAAGCAACCAGTTTAGGTCTATAGAATCTTGAAATATGAAATATAAGTTGGAAGGTGTGTGGGTGGTGGAATCATCAAGATAGCATACAAACTCCTCCTCTTATTACTTTCGTAACTTGCATGAAATGTTGCGACTTTTGAAATACGGTAAATAGAAAAGCTTTTAACCAACGTATCGCACGCGCAAAGATACAAGCACACGCAAAGATACAAACACACGCAAAGATACAAGCACATACGTACATGCCTGCAGGACCGAGTTTGGAGAAATTAATGAACCAGCTGAGATTAGATTTCAATCACTCACCACCCATCCCTGCTTCCTACACTCCTAGGAAGGGCGAACTATGTGCTGCCAAGTTTTCTGATGGTGATTGGTTAGTTTGTGTGTTATCATTGATTGGTTGTCTGGTTGGTTGGCTGGTTGATTGGTTGGCTGGTTTTTTTGGCTGACTGATTGGCTGGGTTATAAACATCAAAGACATGAGCCAATCATTTGATAATCAGTCAAGCAAGCAAACAACCACCTACAAACAAACTAAACAACCATTCAGGTACAGAGCCTTGATTGAGAAGACCATTCCTCCGAACAAAGCAACCGTCCTGTATGTTGACTATGGGAATGTTCGTTTGGCTTTTTTCAACTCATTTTTTTAAAATTCTCTTTATATTTTTGTGTTTTAAATTTAATTTCGTTTCAAATGTTATTTATTATTCAGTTTGTTAATTTATTCATTCATCCATTCATTCATCTATTCATTCATTCATTCAACTTTTTCTGGAATGAACCAAACGACCGGGCACCTCTGACCAGAGTGACCCTTCTCAAGAATTCATTTTCTTCTCCCTCTCCTTACCACAGTTCTTGCCTGGTCGAATGAAATGTTTGAATTTCAATTTGAAAGTCCTTATTTTTAATTGTAACTTTTATTCATTCAAGATTTATTCGTACGTTTAGCCACGGTTCTCAGTCATCCTTTGACTCATCTTATAATTCATTCACTCATTCATTCACTCACTCGCTCACCGACCAACAGCACGAGACAGTGGACATACTGCACCTAGCCAGCCTACCATCCACCTATCAGGCACTCCCACACCAAGCTCATCTATACGCTCTTGCCTGCATCACTCTGCCTAAAGATGTTGGTGGTGATGGTCATTTGGTGGTGATGTTGGTGGTGATGTTATGCTGTTGATGATGTTAATGGTGCTGATTGTGTTGTTTGTTGTTGGTAAGGATGTTGTTTGGTGCTATTTGTAAATGTAATTCGTTTAACCTTACATACCAAATTAATTAATTATGTAAAACAACAAACACAACACATCAACAACAACAACAACATCACCTACCGTCACATCAACTACAACAGCCCGAAGACGTTCAAGCTGCAGTCAAATTTTTTTCAGAGGAAGTAGCTGGTCGACAGTTTCTACTCAATGTTGAATACAAGGTTGTGGTGTTGGTCGTAATGTTGGTGGTGGTGACGATGGTGATTCTTTCATTTTATAAATCCATCCATTCATCCATCGTTCTATTAATGCCTATCAATGTATTATCTTTTACTTGAAACATATTTGTAATGATTTCTGCTTTTCTCTCCTCTCATTACAATTCCTACATTACAAATACATTGGCTCGAGTTGATTTGATTGTCTTCAATTTGAAATACAGTTTCATCTCTAGCAGCATGTCCAAATGTGTTTCTCCAAAGTGATTCATTCCTCTGTCTGTTTAGTAATAAACTCATTAATTTGGAACCACGCTTGCAATCTCACCGGGTGATGAAAATATTCTACTCTCAATAATAAAGAAGTAACTGTTGTCTTGCAATTTAGAAAGTTCTTCAAATTGTTCATTTGCCAGTGTCAGTGGCACCACGTCTTCAAACTTGCTTAGAACTTTTTTTTCTCCCGTCAAATTCTAAACCAATGTATTGGATGATTCATCGTCATAGAAAACCTAATGTATCAAACTTTTGCAAGAGTACAATAGTAATTAGCATTTAAATCGAGCTGATGAGGTGAGTGCAGCAACAAGAACAAGAAATTGGTTTAAAGAAGGAAAATTCAACTTTTCATAGGAATGCAACTGGCTAATGTAGTCAACTCCCGCAGGAAATCAAACTTGATAATTTTCTTGTGCTCAAACAAATGATATTTATGCGATAAATTTGTTAATGTGTGCGAGTGCACAGGCGCTCAGCTGAGAGGAAACACTGCCTGCCATCCATCTATCCATCCGTCCGTCCGTCTATTATTACTTTTATCAATTAATGTCTCCAATGACATGTATTTTTTTATCAATTATTCAATCTTCTATCCATCTTTTCAATCCATCAGTCTATCAATATGTATGTACAGTACATATATTAATTCATTCCTCAAGCTATTCACTCATTTATCTATAAATTTTTTCACTACATTACTCATTTATCCATTCACTCATTCATCAATCCATCCATCCATCCATCGAAGCAGAACTTGGGAATAGATTACGTAACACTGGTTGATGCTGATGACAAGGAGTTGGACATCGGTCAGTTACTAATCAGTGAAGGATTGGTCGTGGTCAGTTTATTATGATCATTCATCATTATTATAATTTATTATGATTATTCATCACCATTATAATATTTCTCCATCCACCAATCCATGCATCCGTTTTCATACAGTCCCACTATATTCAACTTGTAATAAGTATTTTGTAAGGCGTAATTTAATCGACTATAATTATATTTATTGATTATTTTTGTTATACTTTGAATTATGATATTATTGAAATGTTATTGTAATTAAATTATAGTCTGAGAAGAGGCGTGAAAAGCATTTGAAAGAATTAGTCGATAGATACAAGGCAGCAGAAGAAAAAGCAAAGAGAGACAGGGTTCGTCGTTGGTGTTGTTGATGTTAGGCTTGATGTTGTTGTTGATGTCATAATGAGATTAAACTTTGGATTTGTTGCAAATTGCAGGTGAACCTTTGGAAGTATGGAGATTTCACTGAGGATGATGCCTGAGGTGTTGGAACCAGTCGTCGATGTTGATTGGTTGATTGATTGTGATTGGTTGGTTGACTGATTGTGATTGGTTGGCTGATTGATTGTGATTGGTTAAGATTGGTGGCTGATGTGGTTGGTTGATTGATTGTGATTGATTAAGATTGGTGGCTGATTAACTTATTCGCAAATCTAGAAATTTCAATGGCTGTTGTATTTAGTATGACAGAAACTGTTAAGTGTTGAAATTTCCTGGTAGTTTATTATATCATAATTAGCATGTAACGTACGGCATAATTAGGTCAGATAATAATATTCATGAGAATTATCATTTTGGTTGTTGCTGATTGTTTACTGCTGTGTTGTTGCGTCCTTGTATCTGAATGCACTTGTTTGAATACACGATGACGATGATCCGATGGTCATTTAACTTGTGCTTACGGTGATGACGATCATGGTAATAGTAATGATGATATCGAAGGCGGTTGTGATGATGATGACTTATTTAATTTTTGTTTAAAATTTCTTTAAAGTGCCTCGCCATTCGATCGATCATCATCAAAATGAACTCTGAATGACGGATACTAATTGCACCAGCATGAATCATTATTATTACTACTGTGTTGCCAATGAATTTTTATTCAGTAATAATAATTAGTATTCCACTTATTAATATTATACTAAGGTTAATTATTATTAATAAGAATTAAATTATTATAATGGTTAGCTCGATAATTTCAACTCCAGTCCAATTCTTTCGCCGATTTTGTTGATTTATATATATATATATATATATATATATATATATATATATGTGTGTGTGTGTGTGTTTCTGAATAAGAAAGAATTATATATTACATTATTGTTATAATAGTGAGCGTTTGTTATTTATATAATAATTAAAAAATGTCTCAATTGTTTTTGCGATTGTAATAGCGAGGATCATGTTTTTGTTGAATTTTAAGATATTTAAGCTTACTCAAGTGTTTACGCGAATATATGTATATGTGAATGTTGAATATATGTCTGTATTGATTGCTTCAATAACATTCAATCAAACAGCTCAGTAAAATTATTGTGTACGTTATGGGGAAGGAAATACTCTGATTGACTGATTGATTGATTGATTAGTCGATTGATTGATTGGTCGATTGATTGTCATCTCTTAGTCATTGTATTAATTACGTAATAAAAAAAATAATTATTATCTTCTGTGTTGCTGAAATGATGGCAAGTGAACTCGATGGCATTGTTCTCTTCGCTAATGACTTTGAATCAAAAAATGGAGTACCTCGCGCGTATATTCACAATCAGTTTATTTGCGTTTGAACGTGTTGCGAATGATAGTGGTGCAAGCAATATAAGTCGTCGTCATCATTGGATTGCATGAGAGCAAAAATTTTTACAATAAGTGACGACGACGGTGACGACCGTTGAAGACAATAAATTAAAAATAATGAGAGATAATTCGTTTATTCACCCATCCATCCATCCACAGTCTGAGGCTGGTAGATCAGGATCACTCAATCTCATCGCCCCACTTGTTCTTCCTGTTTCCTGCAAAAAGATTACAAAACGTTGTAGATAGAAGAATATTGAACAATTTAGAACATAGTAACAGTAGAGGCAACAAATGCTATAGTTCAATCAAATAAGCACGAAACACTATTGAACATTCAATTGCGTAGGTGCAGTGCACACATGAACTATCATTGTATCCATGCACAATCAATCAATCAATCTTCGTTTAGCGTCCAGAGACCCGGTTCCCCGAGGTAGGACGTTGTTTTCTTTGCCATCAACTTTTTGCGCCAAATTAGACGATCAGTTGTATCCATTTCATTTAAATTTAGAGCCTTCATGTCTTGCTCTATTGTTTGCAACTAGGGCTTCTTTGAACGGCCTTCCATAATCTCTATACTTTGAAGTTTTGTATATTTATATATCCATAGTAGTGTATTTTATTTATATATATAAACACACATAGTAATCCTATCAACATTCAATTCTTTAACCTTAATATATTACATTTGTATATACACGTTAGTATAAATATACATACATAGTAGTAGATTTTTAAAAAGAAAAGCCAACACATCACAACGATCAGCACCTTTGCCTGTCCCTGGCTGGGAGACCCGATGAATATTATCTTCATCATTATTCTGCGAGGTCTGGGGTGATTTTGGAGGCGATTTAAAAAAGTAGGGAAACTTTTTCCTGTTCCCATCTTCCCCGTCATGATGATGATCCGGGTACTTCTGCTCAAATTGCTTTCTATGCTGCTCTCTCAGCTGATCGTATGTCTTCGATTTGGCATCAGGGCTGCTGTGGTGTTGCCCTGGTGAGAGTGGGGAGGAGGGGATTCCAAACATGCCTGCATCTGTCATTGGTTGGTTGGTTCGTTGTTTGTTACTTTTTAACTTGAAATACCTTAATTTGTTATGAAAATGAATATAAGCAGAATGAGGTTAGAACAAATCTCGACAAAAAGAGACATGCCTGTTGCTCAACGTCACCATCCTTCAAAATCTGCATATTCAAAAATAACTGAAAAGTAGACAAAATAATAAGCAGAGCAAAGAAAAATTGGTGAAGGAATGAAGATGAAATTGTGAGACTTTTGTTGTCAGGTTCCTCTTGCAATGTAGCAAATGACGGATCGCTATCTTCACTTTCCTTTCTTCTTTCCATCCTTATGAAATTAAACATAATTGACCAGATGAATGAATAATATAGACCTAGACAAAAGACAAACACATGAATGAAGTCATAAATTCTGTAGTACTAATAGTAAATAGACAAAGCAAATATAAAAAAGACAACAATAATGAAACATTTAAAATTGTCAACTATCAAATACACACAATTAAACTATATATAAATTTACATGTATTTAATTACATACATCGACACCACCGACGACACTAACATGTCCTGAACGACCTCTGTACCCCACTTCCCCTTCCTGAGGGCATCTGCCATTGGACTGTCTTGCAGTTGCATGATCTTCTCCCGACATGTCCCCTGATACGTCAGTTTACCTAGCAAGAAAGCTGCCAGACCTGCTGCCATGTTTTTGAAAAGTGCTCCAAATTTTTTGTTTGGCTTTAAGATTCCTTTTGTAAAAATCAAATTTATTTGTTTAAATATTCAAACTACATAAATTATATTTGAAACTAAAAATAATGTTTTTGCAATTTAAAAAAATATTTGAAATTGCAAACCTCTATTTGTAAGGAGTTGTGTCGTTCCAATGAACAGCACACCTAACGGTAAACCTTTTGGAAAGAAACAAACTATTAACTTCTTAGAAGATTTAACATATTGCATAAAACCGTAACTGAATATTGATAAGATAAAAAATTTACATTTTATTATCAATTATATTTGAATTGAAAATGCAAAATAAAAATTTATTAAACTTTTATTTGTTTGATTGATTAAATCAATTAAATGTTTAAAATTTCATAATCCAATCTTTAGCAATTTTCCAAAATGAATTAAAATTTATGAACTGACATCTGTAATAGAAACTTTCATTGTTGCATTCCTTCAATACCCTCAACTCATCCTTTGTGAAAACAATTCGTCTGCCTTGGTACTGCCAAGATGTTGATTAATTTAATATATTATAAAAATAAAATTAAATTAATTTATTAACCTGTTAATCAAACTTCTATCAACTTTTAAAAAACTATTGTTCATTCATTCATTTGGCATTGTAAATTAATTAAAAAATATGTTAATAAAAATATTAAACAAAACAAATTTTTTATAAATAAAACTACATGTCATACATATATAATTATAATACAATATCTAATTTATCTATTATACATTTACAAGATATACAGGTTGGAGAGGTACAAAAATAAAGAACTGAACTTGAGGACAAATAAATATTTCAAATTACATACATGAGAAGAGAACAAGTTACAATTGATGTTGATTAAATGAAAATATGAATTAAATAAAGTAATAATAGTGGAATGTAACTTGAAACGATAAAATATTAATAAGAAAAATAATGAGAAAATAATAACAAAATGAATTGCATCAAAAAACAAACATCAAGTCAAACCGGTTGCATTTCATTCCGGACTGTCTGCTCCGGATTTTGTGAATTAGTGTAATTAGGATTTGAATTAGTGTAATCAGGTGTTAAGTTAGTTGTTTCCCAATTTTTTGACATTTCGAAGCAGATGAAAGTTAAAATGATGAAAATCTCGAAATAATTTTATATTATCACCCACTTTACTCTCCATAGACGCGAGAAAAAAAGATTTTCCTTACAAAAAAAATTTGCCAAAAATGTTGAACGGTTGTTTGAGATTTGTTAAAAAGAATATGATATTCCTAAATTGCTTGTGAGTATCACTTGAATATCTTCCGCATATGTATCATGCCATTTAAAACCAAATGATTCAATGTATTTTTTTATCTCCTGAAGTCTATTTAGTATAAATAAAATCAATCCAAAACCGAACCTTGCGGAACCCCCTGATGAAACTGTACAGATGTCACA